GAAAATCCGTCTGTTTTATTCGAATATAGGAATAGGATTACGGTAACAGTGTTTTTAGAGCATTCAAAGTAAGTTTTGCAATATTTCTCTCATTTTCTCCATATCGATAGATGCCAACTGCGTATATCATTTTGTAGCTCGTGAAATTCTCTATCGAATGATGTACAGTAGTTGAGGTTTGCTTTGGGCAAAGAGAAGAAATGGGGAAAATATTGTAAATAAAATTCATTTAAGGGGTGAACAGTTTGGATGCGGAATTTTTTCCAGGGGGGCTGAAAATGGGTTTTTTGAGATGCTAGTTTTAATCACGAAGAAAAACTACATCAGACTTGTGAATATGAGCTTGATCTGAGAGGGGGCCGATTTTGCCTGTTATCGACCCCCGTCCTTTTAAAAAGTCGGTACTTTCACGTTATTTCTTTACGGCAATATAATAAGTTGAAATTAACCTGGCATCTGCAAACTCTAACTTGCTGAACGTTAAATATCCAATTTTACCTATTATTGTGAAGATATCTCGCGAGCAACGATAGATGCAGTTAAAAGAAAACTACCATCATACTACTCTTTGACATGGTGAACATTTGGTGGTCGTTTTTTTTACGGACAAAAAGAACCAACCTGATTGGTCAATTTGATGGATCAACGAATCCAATTAGTCGTCTTTGTTCGTATGGTCCGCAAAAAACGACCACTTAACATTTTCCGAAAACTTTGACGGAGATCAAACTTGCAGTTACCGAGATAGATTTCTACCATCTGGCAAAATGGATGGCTTAAGAAGTGCAGTATCATTCAGTTTGTGAAAGAGCCAACATATCAACAGGATTTTATTTAACTCGCTCGAATCAAATTGTAAGACTTTATAGGATCTAGTATCTTCTTTGTTGCAGTATTAGGCTTCGTCTACCTGAGGGGAAGTAAATGAGGCGATGGCGCTTTTTTTCCTAGACGTCCTAGATCAATTGACTCATAAACTAAAGCAGCATTACTTATAACGTATTCTACATCGCATTCTTGAAATGAATTTAATATACGTGCCGTTATTTCACGACTTTTTTCTAATAAATAGTCCCATGATATTTGATCAATAACTGTTGGACGTTGATTCATCTGTAAATAAAAATCAATATCATCTGGTGAAAGACTTTCATTGTCATCATTGTGGTTTATGGTTGTATTTTCACAAAATCCGATATCAATTTTTTGAACTTCTTTTGCTGTTGGTAGTAATGATTTAATATAAGAAATCGTTTTACTTTCACTCACAAAAAATGATTGAATTTTTTTTCCAATTTTTTCTAGTTTTTCTTTGTAATTTGATATTTTTGCTTTTAATGCTATTTCCAGTATTACACTACCTTGACGTGCATCAATTATTACCATATCTTGTTTATCAATTTCTAAATCTGATGCTAAATATTCTAATATAGATTGCCAATTAAAATCTTCTGATTTTAATGGTATTGTTGAATTGATTGTTAATGCAACAGTATCCACATAGAATTATCCATCTAGTATCTCCAAGTAAAATTTATCTTCTTCGAGATTATCCAGTTTTGCTTGTCTTACTCCTAGACCTCCTATATGGATTACCTCGAAGTGTACGAGTAAAAGTAGGTAATGGTATGATCGTCAAACCGTTAGCTGCTGTTTTATTTGGTAAATGCTCATTAATTTGTTTTCCTATCGATTGAATTGATTCAGGTACAATCTGATTAAATTCAATAGGAAATTGAATACTCAATACTTCATTTGTCTTTACTTGTTCTGGTGTTGTGAATACAACATGTATATCATTATGTGGTACAGTTTCAAGTACAGATGGTGCTTTCATACGTAATTCTGGTAATTTTACATCATACCATTTCATATTATGAATTTTCGACAGTTGGTGAATATTTGTAGATTGAACAGTATCATTATTATTAAATATTTGATCAAAAAAACAAATATAATATTCCTCTGGATTATTTATATTATTTCGTTTACATAAATCAATAATTATATCATTAATTGTTGAATGTAATTGAACTTTAACTCGGAAAATACCATCAGTTTTATGTATTCGAACATCAAATGTATATTCTTGCATTTTACTACTATTACAACTTTGTGGTGCTGTATCGAGCAGAACAACAGCTCACTTGTGTATGTTCGTAAGAAGCTTATCTTTCTCTTATTAAAAAACGATAAGGAAAAAAAACCAAAAAAACGTGTAAGATTTACTTGCGTATCTATTATTTATTTAACGTTATTTTTCACCATAGACAAAAAATAAAACATTAAAACTCTTTTCTTTGTTGAATAAAATTCGTTACATTATTAAAAAGTAGTTTGTCATCTTCTTCAGCAGTACCACGATTTAGCTTGACTTAGTCGGCTAGTAGATAGACAACGTACTTCAAACATACGGAGTTCGAATCCCGGCAACGGCGGACAAGTTATCTAATGCTCATTGTCGCGGTACCTTTGGACACAAATGTAATGGAGTAACCCGATTTCACTGCCATTGGACTGTAGAAATAAGAGTTAAAGGTTAGAAAAAAACAAAAAACACGATTTACACGTTAGGAGGAACAGTTCATCTGCATGATTTTTTTCATAAAAGTTGTCTCTCATTACGAATTATAAAAAGTTTACACTAGATCTACAATATTTCTTCCATGAATACACTATACTATCGCAAATATGTTCTGCTTTTATAATACGATGTTCGAATTGAACCAATATTTTCATACATGAAACACCATTTAACAGATAACTGAAATTCGATGTTAAATAAACTTGTTGAGACTAAACTTGGATTAATAGTAAAATGTCAAGTACAGAATTTTACTTTCACATTTTATCACACAATTATGAAAATATTCATTGTGATAAGGAATTTTTTCAAGTGAAAAACATGGACCACTCATGGTTAGTATTTCAGCACCTTGTGTGTAAAATTTGTTTTAGTTAATAATGAACAGAAGGGGCAGTGCTAAAATTAACGCTTTTAAGTGATCTGTATCAGTTTATAATGTTATCTTGTAATGACAAGTGACAGTCACTTTTATCCCTCATTAAAAGGCTTTTGGCACACCTCAGAGAAAAACAAGTGGCGCTCATGTTCTATTTTTATTTCCATTCTTCCACTTTTCCTTTCCTAGCTCATATTATATTCGCAAATAGTTGCTATTACTGTTTTCTCTAACAGACAGTATGGAGACATATCCCGTTCGGTATATCCTTTTTTACAGCAAAATGTTTTTATATACCTATCAGGATATAATTCCATGTCCCGATTGAGATATCAAAAAAATCTCTATTCCGATCAGAACATCACAAATTTTACTTTTTAATTTGTTAGAAAATGATAAATTTGAATTATATGAGAGCTGAATAATCTTCTTCTTTGTTGTCCCTCTAACATTCTTAGTAGTGTTTTTATCATTATGGTTGTTGTCCTTCATTTCATAATCATTTTGATTGTTCACTCTCCTTATTCTGGAGGTGATAGTGATGATAATTCACTGATTATTTCTTGTATTTGATTTATACACAGTCGACAGAAAAACGAACAATTACAGTTAAAAGCTTTTTGTTGGTTAAAGCAATTGTTTACTTTCACATTAACGTGTTTTTCATCAAATCTAATTAGTTTGAATGGCATGCCAGGTAATATGAGTATAAATGCCGCAACATCTGAACTGCTGATGGTCTCCTGGCATCTTCAGGAATGGTGCCTTCACGAATGTTATACGTTTTAAAAGATACAGCAAGTTGTGATTCATTTATAAAAAACATAAGGCAGTTTATCTGCAAGAACGAATATTTGGAAAATTCTCCGTTAAACACAAAGCACGTATACTTATATACTGCCGACACATCAGGAAAGAAATGCGTGTTTCGATATATGTGTGCATCAAAAAGAAATAAATAAAAAAAGACGATCGGTGTGAAAAGCGATTAGATCAAGAGTATATCCCATTCTTAGATATAAAAGATTAACCATCTATTTCTCGATCGCGATATGAATTCGACTAAAATTTGTTAGAATTTTTGTTCGAAAAAGTAGCTGCTGGGTGCTTGATACACTTTTAATCAAACACAACAGAATCTGATGTAGTTTTTGGAGTTCTTTCTAATGCTGAGGTCAATTTTTTCCCATAACATCGAATATCTCGATTGGGCTACAAATCCCAATCGGGATATAATCAAGATTCGAACCGAGATATATATCCCGATTGGGCTATATTACTGAACATGTTTAAAAAAGTATTGAAAGTAAACAAGATTGTTCACTGATTGTCTAAAGTGAGACTTAAAAGTCTTGAGTGAAACATTTATTTTGCCTTCGGTATCTGAGAACCTGTTCTTTTTTCACATTCTAGGCACACCGCCTAGAAATCCGATTCGTAAAAACCACCGTATATCAAAAGATGCAGTAAAGCCTCCTCTACAAAATGCTGAAAACTGCAGGTCTCTATTTCTCTTCATTCTGGAGTTATTCAAACAAAAGCCATGGACACTATATTTTGCAATGGACAGCAGGTTATCATTATTCGATACTTTGGAGATCCTCATGAATTTATCTTTCCGATGACGGTTTTCGATTCCAGTAATCAGCTTTTATTTATTTCCAAAATGAAAGCTTTTAAAAAGAATCCAAAACAACCCGTTCCAGATATATTTTATATCCCGATCACAATACGCGAGTTCTGATCGGATTTTTACGCAGTATCCTAAGGGATGCATATAGCTAAACCGAATGGAAACCGAATCAGTTTTGAATCCTCTTTCGAATAGCATTGTCCGTTTTTTAGTTGGTTGTTAAGCGGAGATCAGAAAAATGCTTGATTGATTATAGAGACCGATCGGGCTATACAAATTATCCCGATTGAGATATAAGTCACGACTCCGCACTCTCCGGCGTAGTTTTTCCAGCTCTTTCTAACGATGAGGTCAGTTTTTCACCGCAAAGTCGTCATTTTTCCCGTAATCGTTTTTACGACGAAATTTGTATTTTATATCCCGATCGGGATATTCATTTTTTTTCTGTATCCTGATCGGAATACAGGAGGTGTCCCCGTACTGACAGAAGTTTTTATCGTTTTTGTTATCCGTGATTCAAAACAATTAATGTATTTGCAAGCGATTCCCATAAACGGAGTACGGTCTCCATGATGTCAACAGTTCGAAGGTTTTGCCATCTTAGAGATGATGGGAAAGGACGAGACCTAACATATAGTGGAATCTGCCCACTCGTAAATTTAATTTTCTATGGATAAACGTAGCGAAAGTCTTGTAGCTTTCTAGAAAAACTATTTGCAATAATCAGAGAAATTTTTAAGCTATTTTAGCGGAAAGAGCATAACTTCTAACATTTAATCATCCAATTTCATGCGAAGCTGCCGAACGGATTACGTTTTCTCATGTAACACGCCTATTAGAACTTTCTCACGGCACAGTTACCATTCGAAAGAGCAGAGAAAACTGCATTTAACAACAGTTTTGTAACTATAGATTGTAGAGAAGTTTTTGTGCGGGTGAAAACGATGTACGTCAATTTGTCATGCTATTTCAATTGCACTTTTCAATTACAAAACGTTTGCCCAGAATCTAATCTAATTTCACTTTATTAGGCTTAAAGAAAAATAAATTTCACACAAAAGCAGCACAATATTACAGTTCGTTATTCTTTCAAAGTTAGGTAGCAAAGTTGTTAGTTTCTTCTCGGTATATAGTCTCTCTTGTTCAGATGATCATTCATTTTACGATATATTTTTCTTTAGTCTCTGAAAACACACATATGTATGTAAGTTCATACTGACTTTTTCTGATTACATATAAATTCGTATATATATCGAGAGTTTTATGGAATCTTTAAAGCGAATAGAAATCTAGCCGAATCAGACAAATTACAGTGGAGTCGGGTGGAGGCATCGGAGCGTGGAAGAGACGCGCGGTCAAATAAATTTTACTGAAATTTTAGTTAGCTTTTTATGTTCTGGTGTGCTTTGAGCTCAGCAAACTCTTCAAACGTTTCATACAATTATAGAACTTGATATTTCTCATACTAGGTACATACCAAAAGTCGTGAAAATTCACACGATGTATGCTCAAGTGATAGTGAAGACGGATACTGTACAGATCGAGCTGTTCTATAATTTCAGAGACGACTATAGACTGTATTCACTGGATCTACAGATGTTAATGCACGAATACGTGTATTAATCTAACAAGCATGTGCATACATATTCATTAAATATAACTTAGATATCGTTATTCATATATACCCAGCTCATAACCATATCAATATATATATATTGACAAATGTGGTTATATGCGAATTTCTGGAATTTACTCGATACAGAGTCTGTATCCAATGAAAAAAATTTGTGAATTTGTAACTAAATGGTTTTCATCTATCCAGTATGACGAAATAAAATAGCAATAATTAAAGGATAGGAATTTATTTTATACTGCACATAAGTCTGACAATAGCTTTTCTTCGAGAAAGGGACCTTTACCTTTTGAGATATCGAGCGGTGAATTCATAGGTAATTTACGCGATGGACTTTCCCGGAAGATCATCAACACCATATCGGATCATCCAATTTTTTTCAGTATGCATTCTGATAAGAAAGCATTAAATAAATTAAATAAAAAGAAGTAAAAGTCAATAGTTGAACGACTAATTTGCAAGACGAATCATACATGTCAAAGAGAGAGTCAGGAAGTCCCTTTTATCACAGGATTTTCTTCCGGAATTGTCACAAAGTTCAAGCTGCTAATGTAACGACGTTGCCTGCTACGAAAAGAAGTCAACAATCTACTTTTCGTATCCGGCGAGAGCATACAAATGATTTCTATACAAGTAATTGTAGTGTTTCTTGTTATCAATCTTCCTTTTTTCTTTCGGAATCAATAAAACTGATAGTTTATATCTGCTCAATTTTGAAGAAGTATACTAAATAACAGCAGTGCTCGATACCAGCTACAGATAGATATTCTTTTTCTCCTTTATGCGTTCATCACGATACAATACGAAAACAGAAAATGGAAAGACAAATATATATATTCAGCACGAAAAAAAAGAGAGAAGGCAATAAAAGACGTTAATTTCAATTCAGTTTTTCATCCATTTCTCGAAAACTAGATTGGGTACCAAAACACACGCCGCGGAATCTACGTAAACAACCGAATCAGACTAGATATACCGTTTTCTTCCAAACCGGACGCAAGTAGAATCGACCCGATTTGCTATGCAGAAAGCACAATCTTTTATCCTATTTTCTGTCAACGTTCAAATCGAACGTATATTGACCGAAGATCTAAAGATCCATCGGAACCGCTCGGAAATGGTAAGTCATTTCGGACAGCTCCTAAAACGATCATTTACACTTTGAGTTGCGCAACATTCGCCTGCAATGGACATCATCATTTTCTTATTTTTAGCTTTCCTTCATCTTCTCTTTCTTCATTTTTCTTCGGTTCTCGTCTCAAGCGGATTAGCGTGCCCTTTATTTTATTCCTTTTCTTAAAATTTAGAAAATTGAGACTAAGTTATTTCTTTTGTTTAAGTTCTACGTATTCAAAGTACTCGTATCAATTGTTCATTACATCGTGGATTTGGT